AGAAAAGTTAGTGCTCGCCCTGATCAAAACGACAAGACGACTACGACATTACTTTCAGAGTCACAGCATAGTTGTTGTCATAGACCAACCTCTAAAAAGAATCCTGGGGAAGCCAGACGTATTCGGCAGTCTTCTTAAGTGGACAGTGGAACGTGGCGAGTTCGATATTTAGTTCCAACCAAGGGTAGCCATCAAAGTACAAGCCCTGGCGAATTTCATTGCTAAGCTTATACCAGTAGATAAAGGGAGCTACAAGGATACCCACATGCCCAACGACGACATCCAAAAGCCTGGTAGGGACTCTTAGGCACCCAAACTGGGCGCCCAGGTCATTTCAGGCACCCAGATCTCCTCCCTAGGCGCTCAGCCATCATCCTCAAGCACCCAGGTAGCCCCTGGCGCCTAGACTAGGACCAACCTTCATCCTCAGGTGCCTAGGCAACCCCTTCTGGTGCCCAGAAAGCTCTACTATGCACCTAGACATCTCTGTCTAGTGCCCAGATAGCTTTCCCATGTGCCCAGACATCTCCCTCTAGCGCCCAGACACTCCAAGGCACCTAACCTAGGGCCCAATCTCCCATTTAATCTCTAAATCCTCCTCTCTACTATTCTAAAAACTCTATGTAGATGGCTCCTCGACCAATGAAGGAAGAGGAGCGGGCCTAATCTTGATCAGGCCCGATGGCACCACTCTCAAGTATGTAGTAAAGCTCCACTTTATTGCTTCCAACAATGAGGTAGAATATGAAGCCCTCCTCTTTGGATTAAGATTGGTAGTTGAAATGGAAGCTCAACACCTCGCCACTTACAGGGACTCTCAGTTGATAGTTAATCAAGTGAAGGGCGAGTTTGAAGCCAAAGGAGCCAGAATGCAAGAATACCTTGGCATGGTGAAAAGCATGATCACAAAGTTTCACTACTTTTAGATCTACCACATTCCGAGAGAAAACAACGTGGCCGTCGATGCACTCGCAAGGCTCACCTCATCCTTGGAAGCCCCACCAGGAGGACCAGCATTCATCGGTCACTAGTGCAAGCTAAGCAAGATAGACATGGAGGCCATAAATTTCAATTGTGCTTCAGTTGAGTGAAATTGGATGACCCCAATAAAGACATACCTCCAAGAAGGTTTGCTTCCAGATGACCTTCTAGAGCCCAGGAAGCTCAAAATGAGAGCCTCCAAGTTCACCATCCTACATGACACTTTGTACAAGAAAGGCTACTCCTTGTCGTTGCTGCGATGCCTTTCACTCGAAGAAGCTCACTATGCCCTGCGAGAGATCCACGAAGGGATCTGTGGGAACCACTCTAGAGGGCGCTCCCTTGTTCACAAGGTGCTCAGACAAGGATATTTTCTGGCCTACCATGGTAAGGGATGATCAGGAGTTCTCCAAGAAGTGTGACAAGTGTCAACGCTTCGCAATTGTGCCCAGGCAACCACCGGAGGAGCTAACAATCATTCCAAGTCTGTGGCCTTTCTTCAAGTGGGGCATCGATATCCTAGGCCCCTTGTTTCTCAGCAAAGGACAGTGCAAGTTTATGGTGGTGGTAGTCGACTATTTCACACCTTAGCAAAAATTACAGATGCAAAGGTCAAAGATTTTGTCTGGAAGAAAACCCTTATTTCACCATGTTGAACTGTTTCTGCTCCGAACTTCAGATAAAGCAGCCTTACTCCAGCCCAGTGCACCCACATGCAAATGGACAACTTAAAGACAAGGCTTGAAAGAGCAAAGGGTATTTAGGTCGACGAGCTTTCAGGTGTATTGTAGGCATATCGAACCACTCCAAGAACTCCTACTAGGGAAACCCCTTCCTCCCTCGCCTTTGTAACTGAGGTGGTCATCCCCGTGGAGATAGGGGTACACTCTCTAAGGGTCCAGTACCACAACCCCATCAGAAACGAGGAAGGACTTCGCATCAAACTCGAGTTGGTGGAGGAGGCAAGGGAGATGGTTGTTGTACAAAATGCAGAGTACAAATAACGCATGACAAGATACTACAACTGGAGGGTGAAGCCTCGTTCCTTCCAACAAAGAGACTCAGTCCTCAAGAAAGTGATCTTCGCCACAAACGATTCACGCGAGAGAAAGCTGAGACCAAACTGGGAAGAACCCTACCTTATAACAGAAGTGGTGAGGCAAGGCACCTATATGATCCAGAATGTTGAGGGGAAGGTCTTACTCCATCCATGGAATGCGGAGCACTTAAAGAGGTATTACCAATGACACCTTTAGAGCATCAAAGTATAAGTTGGGGACTTGGTTTTATTTTCTACCTTTTCTGGGGTCATTACACAAGATTCAATGTACTTTTTGAGAATTATTACCCAACATTGCTTTATATGAGCAATAGATCAATAAAACTTTTTATGTTTTACTCCAAAAAAGATCTTTTACATTTAATTTCAAAGGAGTATCAGTACAAAAACCATCAACATCATTAGAGCTCCCATCACTATCATCAGGCACCTTAGTAGGCACGAAGCCTGAGAAGTCAATATTGGGGAAAGTAGTAGAAATCTTCCCTCAAAGCTCCTCATAAACGTCAATAAAAGCATCTGTGAGGCCATTCTCTAGATCCACCTCAGCCTAAGAAGCTCTATCCTGGGCGGCCCTCATCTCTGCCTCTGTGGCAGCCTCTCTGAGCATGGCCCTCCCATGGATCTCTGCAAGCTCAGCCTCCCTGAGCGCGTCCTTCTCGCGGGTCACCAAAAGCACAGTCTCAAGCTTTATTGCCCTCTCACGGGCCTCAACAAGCTCATCCTTTCTGAGTGCGTTCCTCTCACGAGTCGCCAGAAGCTTAGACTTAAGATTGGACGCCCTCTCATGAGCCATCACAAGCTCAAACTGAGAAGTCCTACAAGTAGCTTTGAGCTCGGCAATCCTCTCCTGGGTAGTCAAAAGCTCCTTTTGCACAACGTCATGATCCAGCTTCAGCTTGCTATGAGCATAGGCCCTTGAAAGCAAGCAGATAGATAAAGTTGAAACCTAAAAAAGATAAAAGATAGAGAAAGGTCAAAGGCATAAGAAAGGACTAGAGAAAGGGAAATAGCAGACCCTTACCTGAGACAGGCCTTCCAAATATGTGTAGACAACCCTTTCGGTACTCAAATTACTAAGCTGAGAAATTTTGGGTCCAAACACAAACCTCACAAGCCTTTCCCTGATGATTAGCAGTCTCCCCATCATGGGACCAGACCAAATCAGCCCCCCAATAGAAGTTCCCACCCGAGGAGGGGAAGAAGGTGTGCTCGGCAAGGAAGACCCTGAAGTAGCAACCGAAAAAGTCGCCGGCTGTGGAGGCATCGCTGTAGGAGTCACTTGGGGGACATCACCCGTCTTCACCACCTTGGAAGAAGGATGGCTCCTACTAGAATAGTAGGACACTACCACATTTCTATTTACTGCAAAAGCAGTAAAATGTTATGCAGATGAACAAATACCAAGTGAAGGAGAAAATTAAAAGAGGAAATCAACTCACCATTCCTCTTTGAAGAGGAACCACCAGACTTTGGAGAGGGAGTAACAGTCCTAGCATCCTTAGGCAAAAGAGCTCCCAAATCTTTGTCAGGGCAAGCCTTCACGGCCTGTAACTTCCACTCTTGGTCTTTGGAGAGCACATGCATGTCTGCAAGGGGATGGTAAGCGTACATACATACAAAAAAAAAAAAAGTAGATGTACGACGTACCGGGTTTTCTAGCAGTACCCCATCATGATGGTACCAAAGCCCTGTCGGCTTCCGCAGCTCACTCTTCGCTGACAAAGAAGAAGCGAGATTTCCAATTGTAGCAATTGGAGCGTAATTCCGTGAGCACCATGCCACTTCTTGTGGTAAAATAGTACCACCCTCTATTTGGTGCAGGAGTCTCGCTCAAGTTGTAAGCTACATGGAACTCCATAGGAGAAACATCTTCATAATGCACCTTCCTCCATAATACAAGAAAGCCCAGCAAGACTCTCCAACCATTAGGCGCTAACCACTCCGAAGTCAAGGAAAAGTAATGTAAAATGTGGCAAATAGGAGAAGACATGGGGAATCTAAGCCTAGCCTCAAGTATCTCCTCGTAAAAAACAATATCACTAGAGGAGTCGTCACAAGCAAACTCACCCGTCTCAACTCGGCGACACAGAACGGTCGGAGGAATACGATAAGTAAAAACAAGCCTTAAAATATCGTTATCATAATTGAGCAAAATAGAAAGGGTGCTCACCTTAGACCCGTCATCATCGAAGGTCATTTTGCCTTTGTGCTTCTTCTTTCGGGGTTGTAAGGAATGGCTTGAGCCACCATCTAGGAGGTCTTGAGCGTTTTGGTTTTGAAAAGCCACACATGAATGAGTCAGATCATCATCACCAAAAGTGGCACCCAAAACTTCGTTGTTGCCTACAGTATTCAGCCCAACACCTGGAGAGGTGCTTGGTCCTATCTGCTCCCCCAAGCGGGGCAGCCCAGCACCTGAAGAGGAGCCTGACCCCTTCTGCTCATCCAAACAAGGTAGCCCAGCACCTAGAGAAGTGTCTAATCCCCTCTGCTCGCCAAAATGAGGCAGCCCAACACCTAGAGAGGTGTCTGATCCCCTCTGTGCACCAAAACGAGGCAACCCAACACCTGAAGAGGTGCCTGATCCCCTCTGCTCACCCAAATGGGGCAGCCTAATACCTGGAGAGGTGCTTAACCCCCTTTACTCGCCCAAACGAGGCAGCCCAGCACCTGGAGAGGTGCATGACTCTCTCTACTCACCCAAACGGGACATTCCAGCACCTAGAGAAGTGCTTGACTCCCTGTGCTTGCCCAAATGAGGCAGCCTAGCACTGTCTGGCTCTCCAAAGCTGCACAAATCAGCGCCTCTGGCGCCTAGAGTAGTGCCTACAACACCTTCGATGCCCAAGTGGCCCAGCCCAACACCTTCAGCGCCTAGGCAGTCCCCTACATGCCAATTGGAGCAAGACAGCTTGCCAAAGTTGCCCAGATCACCGCATGAAATGGCGCCCTTCACCTCCTTCTCAAGCAGCCTGCGCATGCCAATGGCAGCAGTAACCAACTGGGTCCCCTCCACTCCGCCTGCTTTCCTCAATCGCTCGCCCAAGGACTCCTCCATTGCACCCATAGCTTCATCGACAGGAGCAGCCCGTAGGGCCTGCTCGCCCACTACACGGGTAGTAGTACCTGGGGCTTGCTTACCCATCCCTTGCACGCCCATGGCGATGGTGGCCAGCGGGATCCTCGCCTCCTTCTCCACTCCACTTCCTTCGATCTCCACCATTTCAATGGATTTTTGCAAATCTCCCTCCTCGATCGACATTGCTCACTTAGGTACTCCACTCAAAAAGAAGAAAACCCACCTATATATATCTATATAATAAAACAGGAGTGTGTTTAAATTTTGTCCCAGTCATATTTTTTCCCTCAAAACTATCACCAATCACTTACCTCACCCATCATCTTTTTGTTAAACTCAAACGTCAAATCGCATCACTCTTTTCTATTACATATTTAATTATTTATATATTTCTTCCCTAAAAATATCACACAACTCATTTCTATCATATATTTAATTATTTAATATTTGATTAATTTATAATTAATGTATTTAAAATTTTTTTAATATAGTGGGATCGATTTTTTAGATACTCGAATTTTATATTTTATTGTGCCTTTAGGCACGGGTTATAACTAGTATATATATATATATATCCTTGAAAAGATTCAAGAAGAGCACTCCTTCAATCTCTCAAGTTTCAATGGAATGGGTAAAACTTGGGCTCTCAAGGTTTTCAAGAATGGGTGTTCAATTTCCAAGTGAATGAAATTAGTAGAATGAACAAGAAGGTTATATTTATAGCCTAGGGTTTTTAAAGAGGGAAAAGCCTCAAATTGAAAATTAAGGGCTCTCTTAAAATCCAAGAGAAAAAAACTTGAGGTATGTACCAAAGCAAAAATGCATCGTGTAGGGGAAGAATCATCCAGCAGATGAAGTCTCCACTACTTGAAACTCAAGATTTAAACTAATGTCCCCTTCTCTAAGTTTCCTTGGACACGGGGCATTGGGGAGAAAATAATGGGTCAAGCCCAAATAACCCAATTTATGTGGAAAGCCCAATCTCAATTGAAGAGCTCAATCTTATAAAGACCCGTCAGGCCCAATACTATCCAAGTCCAGTCAAACTCATCAGCTTGGTTACGTCATCAAGAGAGAGCATAGGAGCCTTACCTGCACCGCCGAGAAAACAATCCACCCTCACCTCATCCTTGACCGCACTCATGGAGAGCACCTCAACCACCCGCTCGTTGAGAAGAAGTCGTGAGCTCCACCAAAATAGTTTTTTAGTTGCTGTAAAGTAGACCCAACTTGTTAGGGGGCCACTATAAATTGTACGCCCCACCAACACTTGAGGGGCATCACACTTTTACTTAAACACGACTCTCCTCCCCCTCTCAAAGGTTTGTACTCTTTGCTCTCTACACCTTTGAGCTAATAAAGTATCAGGTGACCAAGACCATTCAAAAGTGGACGTAGGTCATGATTGGAACCCCACAGGAGAAACATCTTCATGATGCACCTTCCTCCACAAAACAAGAAAGTCCAGCAAGGCCCTCCAACCATTAGGTGCTAAACGCTCCGGGGTCAAGGAAAAGTAATGCAGAATGTGACAAATGGGAGAAAACATGGGGAATCTGAGCCCAACCTCAAGCACCTCCTCATAAACGACAATATCACCCGAGGAGTCATTGTAAGCAAGCTCACCCGTTTTAGCCTGACGACACAACACAGTCGGAGGAATACGATAAGTTGAAATGAGCCTCAAAATGTCTTCATCTGAATTGAACAAACTTGAAAGGGTACTTACCTTGGACCCGTTATCATCAATAACCACTTTGCCTTTGCATTTCTTACTAAGGGGGCGCAAGGAATGGCCTGAGCCACCACCTAAGAGATCATGAGGAATGTGGGTTTGAGAAGTTACACTCAAAGGAGTCAGATCGTGATAACCAAAAGCAGTGCCCAAAACTTCCTTGTCGCTTGCAGTGTTCAACCCAGCACCTAAAAAGGTGCCTGACCCCCTTTGCTCACCCAAATGGGGCAACCCAGCTCGTAGAGAGGTGCTTGACCCCCTATGCTTGTCCAAACGGAGTAGCCCAGCACTTGGAGAGGTGCCTGACATCCTATGCTCATCCAAACGAGGCAGTCCAGCACCTAGAGAGGTGCCTCACCACCGTTGCTAGCCCAAATGGGACAGTCCAGCACCTGGGGAGGTGCCTAACCCTCTCTATTCGCTCAAACGAGGTAGCCCAACGCTGCCTGGCCCTCCAAAATTGCACAAATCAGCATTTTTGGGGCCTAGATTAGTGCTTGAAGTAGTACCCAGATCAGCTCCGATAGTATTTTCGGCGCCTAGGCAGCCAAGGTTGGTGCCCAAGCTGCTGCCCAGCTCGCTTACTACATATTTGCTGGCCTGGGCAGCCCCTTTTCTGGCCAGCACGCCCCTCACACTACTACCCAGCTCGCCTGACTGCGCGCCCAAGCTGTCCAAGACAGCATTTTCGGCGCCCAAGCTATCCAGGACAGCACTTTCAGCATCTAGGTGGTCCAGCCCAGTACCCATGGCGCTCAGGTAGCCCTCTGCACTCCTCCTTAAGCGAGATAGCTCCTCAAAATTGCCCAGACCAGCACCTAAATTGGCGCCCAGTTCAGCGCCCACCACCTCTTTTCCTTTGATCTCCACCATTTCAATGGAATTTTGCACATCTCCCTCCTTAATCGACATTGCCCACTTGGATACTCCACTCAAAAGGAATAAATACGAAGATTAGAACAAATATGAGTTTTGAATATACTAGACATCTTTGAATTTACTTTTCATAAAAGATAGAAAGTTATTTGAATTTTCTATTTCTTGCATTTTTTTGCCTTTATTCTGCTAACTTCACCAATATGGATTAATTTGGATTTAACCCGATTCTCACTCTCAAGTCTCACCCTTTAAATGGGTAGTGACGAGTGCAGACATTAAAAATTTAATTAACAAATTAATATTTATAATTGAGCTCAAATCAATCAGATAAATAAAATTGGGTTAAACCTAAATTTCATAAGCCCAAATGATAAAATTTTAAATTTAATTGAATAGGCTTGAGTTGGACTTCAATTCCAAAACCCAAATAATACAAGCCCAAACATAATTAACCATCTTGTTAAATTAAAAATGGACTTAAATTTTATGAGCCCAAATTAAACAAACTTTTAAAAGTAAAATGGGTTGGACTTAAATTCCATAAACTAAAGTCCACAAATTTATGGGTAGCCCATTACCTAAAACCCATATAAGGGTAATTAGGTAAAAGTACTCTTATGTGGATAACTATCACTCTTATATGGATAACTACTTCTGGCACTATAAATAGAGGCCGGAGGAAAGGGAGCCAAAAAGAGAGGAGGCTAAGAAGAGAAGCCAAGGAGGAGGGAAGATCAAAAAGCTCTGCCCGAGTCCATCTCAAGAGGAGAAGGGAAGATCAGCAACGAAATTCTGCCGGAGTCTATCCCCGACTAAGGTCTTGCAAATCTATATCTAAGAAGAAGAAACACCGCCAATGTCCTTCTTCAAGAGATTCAAATTATCTTTAAGTCATTCAACACAAAGAATGGTGAGAAGATTCGACAAAGTCAAGTCAAATATCAAAGAATGATATTCACATCAATCTGACGCTCGCCTTCAACAAATCCATCAAATCAAAGATTGAAGAACGAGAACCACGTCAATCCGACCCTCATCTTCAACAAATCCACCAAATCATCACCAAATCGAAGATTAAGGAACACGTTGATCAAGCCCTTGTCTTCACCAAATCCACTAAAGCCAACACAAAATCAAATATTGAGAAACACGCTGATCAGGCCCTTGTCATTATCAAATCCACCGAGAATCGGAGGAAATTGCACGTGAGAAGCACGCCTAACAGAGTCAACACAACTTTATTAAATCAAATCAAATTATTCAACAATTGTAATTTTAACATTACTTTTGTGTTATATTACATCATGAATTTTTTCGTTACAACGAGGTCAAGTTTTGCCAAAAGGGAGGTACTTCCTTATTTACTTCTTTAGGGACTGCTTGGTTTAATTTGGTATATGCTGGGGCATGCTAGAATCACAATTTTAAACATTATGATCTTATCTATTCGTATTGGCATAATATATTTATTATAACAATTCAGTCGATTAAAACAAGATGTATTATTACTTTAGAATTTTTTTAATGCGTTATGGTCAAAGACTTAAATGAATTCACGTATGCTCCGTTTGGTAGGAAAGATGAAAAGTAGGAGTGATACACTTTTAAGAATGGAAAGTAGGAATGATACACTTTTATTATTTTGTGTTTGGTTGGATGGATAAAAAATAAAAATGACTAATTTTTTTTTGTGCTAGCTAAGTTACGAGTGACATTTGAATCGTGTCGTGTCATATTCGTATTGAGTCATAAAATTATGAGCCTTTTATATTTTTTGTTCGTGTGTTTAATCATTTTCAAGTTCATGTCGAGTTATAATTAAGTTTGTATTATAAAATTCGTGTCGAGTTCGAGTCATGTCATCGTGTTGAGTCAAAAATTTTCACCCCTAATTAAGATTAAAAAAATATATTTTTTAAATTAAAATTTTTTTTTTAATTTTTAATTTTTTTAATATATATACATATTTTATCATTGTATTTTTATATAAAATTAATGTGTACATAATATATAGACAAATAAGATATATCTCAACACAAATAATTAATTTTTCATCTACTTTTCTTTTGATTTTTGAGGGATTGGTTTTGGTGAGTTGGAAGGAAAATTAATCCATCCACTTTTTCATCTTTCTTATTTTTCTTCCTTACCAAATATAATGTTTTATTTATCTCTGTAACTTTTCATCATTCCAACTTTCCATCATTTCATTTTTTCATCATACCAAACGAAGCATTAGGCAAAATGGCTACAGCTAGAATGCAAACAAAAGGAATGGTGCAATAAGGAAGAACACCTATCTGATTAATGCAGGGATTGAATACAACATGAGCTTCAAAACATATGTGCTGGGCTAAAACTTAAAAGCAAAGAAACTTGAAAGTATGTAGAAAGTAGAGTACAAAAACCCACTTGAGAAGCTTCATTATATTATAGGTTGTAGTCTCAAAAGCTAGGGCCGCTTTCTTCGGCCCTCATTGCCCACATGTAGGTGGTCTTCTCTCTAACGGCTATAAAACATGCTTATTTA